CCTAAGGATCTTTCACTAGGGTCTCCGTCTAAGCATCATAACTGAATCGTTTCCCTCTTAACCTATTAACCTTTAACCTATGACTTATGTGTGAATCTGGTAGCTGAATCATAGTCAAACCAGAGGTGGCTCCCCAGAATTCATTTCCCTCTCATAGATAACTTACTTGCTGCCCCAGCTCTGTGGTAAACTGCATGAGCATCAGTTAACGTCGTCCTCTTCTATGAGCAAGAGTTGTGGAGTTAGGCGCTTGTCACAGGAATGTATTGTGTCACTTCTGTAAAGCCAGTTTGCTCCCCAGTACTCAAATGTGATGGAAGAAATACTTCAACAACAGTAAAGGCAGGCACTCCCAGTGGGAGCAGATGGAGGCCAGCTAGAAGAGAGTAGAGTGGAGGAGGCCCCTCTGCCGCAAGTGTTGTCGTGTTCGTGGCTGGATCTTGTGGCATCCTTGGAAGGCACCGGAGTAGCTTTTTATCAACTAAATATTTTAACAACTTGTGTAAAGTAACAGTAGGTACCAAGTAAATATGCTTCCCTATGCTCTCTTGACACATGCTAGTTCTAAGGCCCTGACATATATGAGTTAGACGATTGGCATCCCAATTTTTGCCGAGTATTCCTACTTTGGTGAGCTTTTGAGTGAATTAGGCACTCCTTTCCTTACTGTTTTTCTAATATTTGAAGTGGCATGCAACATAAGAAATCCCAGGGCTAATCTCAAATGTAAGTTGCATATTTAGCAGTAGAGTCTGTAAAATGGTATAAACTGTAACACAAAAGAAGTCTTGCTGAAGTCATTGGGTGGAATTCTTGAAGCACAAGAATCAAAACAAATTCTTTACCATTTATCAGAGTCATTCAATTAAACACACAGACCCCAAAGAGAACTCCTCAAAGAAAATCATTTTATAGCACATAATGGAAAACCAAACAAAACCAAACCAAACATGTCTTTGACTTTTTTTGTGAAATGAAAGGGCTGTTTGAAACGATGACTGTGGAGTGTGTACCACTTCTTCCAGATTTGCTGTGTAGAAGTGCATAAGTGTGAGTGATGTAGAGGTACTTGTTTATTATAGAGCACATTTCAATGCAGTAATCATAAATATTGCTAAGGTTGTGCTCTGTTGAAATATGACCTACATACTCTTGATTGTTTGTGTTACGTGATTTGTCTGACACCCATTACATTCTGGGTAATAGCAGCCATTTGTTGCTCTGCACAGCAGGCTCTTTTGACAAAAGAAAATAGGCAGCAATAAAAAAGCTATAGTCTGAATTACATTCTGCACAGAGCTGCACTGCTGAGAGTTTGTGCAAGTGTGTTAACAATGCTCTGAACTGCCTCTTGTCAGCCTTCAGCCTGCAATGGCCATCTGTCCTCACATAAATCTGTCAAAACCTGCTAAGTTCAAGAGAGAGCATGGAATATACCTTGTACTGCCAACACCAAAATGTACACATTCCCCAGAAAATCAACACACAGGAAATAATCCAGAGGTTATGGGAGGCATTAGCGCTGTTGATTTAGGCTTCTGGCATGAAATTGAGAGTCCAGCGATTAATGGGGAGATGAGCAAAGGTAGTGGCGTTAACGAATTGAGTATTGACTTCTGTCCTCCCGCAGGGGGAAAAGTTCTGGGTAGAGGGGGTGAGGTTAGATAAATCCGACTGTTTCAGGGACAGGAAGGGGTTACCCGGTCCATCAGCAGCTCTGAGAAGTGTGACACTGTGCCAAAAGAAAAAGAAAATGCTCCTTGCACTTTTGTTTCATTTTGCTTTGGGTCTCAACTATGTCTGGAAATAGATTTTCAATTAAGCACTTGATGATAGGAAGTCTTGTCATCCGTGAGATTTCTCAGTCTTAGGCTAATATATTCTCCGATTAAGGGCGTTTTGGTAAAGAGTAAAAAGTTCAGGGAATTATCTAAATTATTTTCTCCTCCCTTCCCACTCACTAATCCTAAAACAGCTTCTATCGAATAAGCACTTATTATTTATCTGTTTCAAAAAATGGGGCTAGCAGAAATTAACAGCCTTGCTAATTCACTCACAGGACATATTTGCCTATTTCTGAGTGTCTCCATAAACTTTAACCAAATCTTCAAGAAAACAGACTTTGTTCAAGTTTTGAAACAACTGTCTCTTTGTTATAATGAACTGTGTAGTTCTTAGAAGCTAGGTCCTGGAAACACCAGCATCAGTTGTATCCAGCACATAGTAGGTGTTCAGGGAACGGCTGCTTAATGGCCCTGGGCTGTCTACCATGTGAAGGAGCTAAAAGGTTTTGGTTTTAATGCATAGAAAGAACAATCAAGGTGTCCACACTCCCAAGAGCAACTTGAGAACCAGTTATTTAAGTGATAATGAGCTTAGGTACTAGGACAAGGGTTTCAAATTTTCAAGACTAAAAAGAATTTCTATATTTAAAAATCCCTAGATAGCTGAGCTATTTTTAGCACTGGTCTCTCTTTAATAGTGGCCTAATTTGGCGTTTCTGAAGTTTAATGTTTCTTTTTATAATCCAGAACGTCAGTCAAAATATGTATACCTGCTAGTATGAGGCAGCATGCCATGGAGACGTGCTTGGGCCATGCTTCTCCACGTGTGGTCTGTGAGCCCTCTCGCTAAAAATGTTTAACACACTTCCTAAGTGACCCTTAGGTTCCTGCAATGTGAGAGTCACTGCTATCTGGAAAAATTACAATGAGCTGAAAAAAATATGTTGCCACAAAGAAGCTCAAATGACATCGTACACGAAGCTTATAATCCACTTGGAAAGACAAGATATAATTCACAGTCAAAAAGAAATAAGGAGATACTGTAATATTTGATAACTATCAAGGGAGCAAGCCTGACAGTAAATTATTAGTGAAGTCAAAATTACCCTAAATCGGAGTCATCGTGAAAGGATTCATGGAGTGAGATTTTAGGATGTTGAATGTCATTTCCTCCAATTCAAAGATATGTCATTTGGTATATTGGACTAGTATTTACTCAGCAAAGAGAAATTACTCCTCATTATATCTGTTAGCTTCCATGAGAAATATTTGAGAACCTGCCATGCCGTTACTGGGAATTATCTTTAAATTTCTTGTGGTAGTCATTACAGGTAATGTGTGGTTGAGATCAGCATGTCTCCTGATGCAGAAGACAATGCAAAAGGTAAACACAGGAAGTAAAAAAAAAAAATAGAAGAAAGCCTTGGCCATACAGGAATTTCTTAGATTGAGTAAAAGACACAGTCATCTATGAAAGAGGCAGATGTTGCTTTCAGTAACGCAGATCAGAGCCTTGTCGCCCCAGCAGAGCCTTGGGGTGGGCACCCAAGGGCGGCTGCTAACAGAAAGGAGTTCCTTTGAGCTTCAGGGGCAGCGTGGAAGAAGAGCGGTCTCCATTATTTTGTGTTTGCATTTGCCGGCTTTTCTGCACTTTTCTGGAATGGAATTCCAAAGTCAGACCACTTAGCATTTTGGGACTCTTTCTTCCCTCATTAGGGAGAATTAGCCAGGAATAGTAAAGATTGCCAAGTACTGGTGCAAAGTTTTCCTTTTCATGAACGCCTTCATTTCTTTCATTGGTTTATTGTAAAGAAGGAGAATGAGGCAGCAGCTTCCTGTTCCTATCAAAATTCCACATGGCTTTCAGTGACCTACTTGGTTGTTGATAGATTTTTTTTTTCCAGCAAGGGAGGATGTCTTCTTGAAACCTGCAGTTGCCTTAAGTCTAACCCCAGGCTTGTTCGCAGACTTGTTCTTTTTGCTGAATAGCATCACCTAACCTCCTATTTAGAAAGTGTATTGTAAACTAAAATGTTCCCTGGTAAGCATAAAGTCATTTGAACTCTAGCCTGCCCTCCCTCAAAATTCTCTGGACTCTGGAGGTGTTTCACAATGATTCTTCGGTGTGAACAGAGGAGTAGGATCTGCCCAGGGTTGAAACAGAAGAATGGAACTACCATGCTTTCCAGACTCCCTCGCCATGCTGCTCATGGAATTGTCTACCCCTCTGGAGAAAAGCAGGAAGGGCAACAAATGATGAATAATAGTTCCCTTTCTTCCTTTATTATTTATTTATTTAATTAGTTAGTTGTTTCAGCTTGGATTGGTGTCAGTGCCTCCCTCTCAGAACCCTCAGTGATGCTGTGTTCTAAATAAAATACTCCACTGGTGCTGCAGTATTTAGTGTTTCTGTTCACTTAGGTTTCTGGTGCAGAACCGTATTTTAGACAGAATGTATTAGTTATGCTTACAAGAATGTATTATACCTACATTAGCCATGGTTTACTAAGTTAATGAACTGTGGAGGCAAAGAATCATTGCCATCAAGTGGTGGTGTTGCTTTGCTTCCCTGCGTTCATCTGTTGTCTTTTACTGAACTTGCTTTGAAGTTGCCTATATCGAGCCCACCATGATCCGCATTTGCTGTCATTCCATGTTTTTTTTTGTTTGTTTGTTTCTTTGATTGCTTAATTCCTTGGTTACAAGGGTAGATCTCCACCACTGGACAAAGAACCCCCAAGCCGCTTCATCCCCTGCAATTTTATTTGCAGAAAAATGTCACCAAGGCTATTTAGTGATTTCTGAGTCAGACTTGCAGTAAGTTTCTCCATCAGGCAACCTACCCAATACCCTTGAAGGCACGAGCTTTGGTACTGTCTGGTGCTGTGGAGCCAATGTTGCCACGTCCGTGTTTTCTGGGGGAGCAGGATTTGTTAGCACTGGTGTTTCAAATACTAAATATCATGGCTCTCTCTGCAGCCTGGCTGGGTAGATCCATCTTGTCCTGGTGACAGCGGCTTAGGGGAAAGAGTCCGTTTTTCAGGTCTTGTCATGAATTGAGTTTCCTTCTTCTTCTCTCAGTTTTAACCCTTGTCTGTAATCTTGGAAATGTTGAGAAATGTGACTTTGCATGGCAAAACATACCTATATCTGTTTTCTCTTTCTAGCTCCTGTATTTTAAATTTAATTAATTTATTTTTTTTATGTTTTGCTTAGGCCTAACTCCACCCACGACTCCTCCTCATAAAACCAACCAAGATAACCCTTTCAGGGCTTCTCCAAAGCCGAAGCCCTCTTGTAAGACCGTGGTGCCACCACCATCAAAGAAGGCCCGGTGCAGTGAGACTTCTTGTACCCAAAGCAGTAACTCCGCCAAGAAGGGGCCCGAGCAATCCGAGTTGTACGCACAACTCAGCAAGTCCTCGGTGCTCGGCAGTGGGCCCGAGGAGAAGAAGCCTAAGAGGCCCAGCCTGCGGCTGTTTGGTGATCATGACTATTGTCAGTCAATTAATTCCAAAACAGAAATACTCGTTAATATATCACAGGAGCTTCAAGACTCCAGGCAACTAGACTATAAAGATGCCTCCTCTGATTGGCAGGGGCAGATCTGCTCTTCCCCAGATTCAGACCAGTGCTCCCTGAGAGAGACGTTGGAGGCCAGCAAGCAGGTCTCTCCTTGCAGCACCAGGAAACAGCTCCAAGACCAGGAAATCCGAGCCGAGCTGAACAAGCACTTCGGTCATCCCAGTCAAGCTGTTTTTGACGACGAAGCAGACAAGACCAGTGAACTGAGGGACAGTGATTTCAGTAATGAACAATTCTCCAAACTACCTATGTTTATAAATTCAGGACTAGCCATGGATGGCCTGTTTGATGACAGCGAAGATGAAAGTGACAAACTGAGCTACCCTTGGGATGGCACGCAATCCTATTCATTGTTTGATGTGTCTCCGTCTTGCTCTTCTTTTAACTCTCCGTGTAGAGATTCCGTGTCACCACCCAAATCCTTATTTTCTCAAAGACCCCAAAGGATGCGTTCTCGTTCAAGGTCCTTTTCTCGGCACAGGTCGTGTTCCCGATCACCATATTCCAGGTCAAGATCAAGGTCCCCAGGCAGTAGATCCTCTTCAAGGTAAACCTTGTGAAAACTCATCCAGTTGTGTACGGTGTTCCCAGGAAGTCCAAACAAGTACTCAAAATCCACAAGCAGCCCAGGCCCTCGCCACTGCATTCCCAGTGCTGCCAGAACTCGTGAGAATATTGTAACACATATTCCTCCCTGTGTCCTCTGAAATCTGTCAGCCCAGAGCACAGTGCCTTCAGCCAGTGAGATCAGAGAGAGCAATTTGTAAGAAACTCACTTGTCTAACTTTTCCCATTACCTGGAGAGCTGCCCTGGGCCGCTATAGTTGAGATCCACGCAAGATAAAGCTGACAGTATCCCATACCTGGTGCTCAGTGTTAACATCAACAAGAGACAGGGAGAGAGAACACATCACTCCCAGGCCTCTGAGCTGACTAGCTGATCACATACTGTCACTGGGAAATTGCCCTGGTAGCTGGGGAGGAAAACCCAGTTTACATAATCTCAGGTTCCAGAAGGTGCTTCGGCAGTGCCAAAAGACTTGGGTTCAGTGGCAGTTGCAAATGCCGCTTTCATTTTTCTCCTCTCTCCCAGATCCTGCTACTACTATGAGTCAAGCCACTACAGACACCGCACACACCGAACTTCCCCCTTGTATGTGAGATCACGTTCAAGATCACCCTACAGCCGTAGGCCCAGGTAATGAGGCATGTCGTTTGGCGCTGGCTCCCTTTATTCCCTCCTTTAGATGACAAAATGTTATGTAAAGCCCTTCCCTCCTCCCCAAATTATGATTCATTCTGCTCTTGCAAATTGAGGTGGTTGACTTAATGATGCAGTTATGTTTCCCAGGTATGACAGCTACGAGGAATATCAGAACGAAAGGCTGAAGAGAGAAGAATACCGCAAAGAGTACGAGAAGCGGGAATCGGAAAGGGCCAAGCAAAGGGAGAGGCAGAGGCAGAAGGCGATTGTAAGCAGCTGGGAGTAACTTTCGTTTCAAAGGAGGGTTTCTTTAGGCTTTTTTTTTTTCCCGTGTGCTTTTTTTTTTTTTCCAGAATAAAAATGTGCTAGATTGGAAAATACACTAAAGCTCAATCTGTTAGCATAGGCAGTATTTTGGTTATAAAAGAATCAGTGAGTTCTGGATCTCTCTTAGCAAAGATTCTTAACCAACAAAATGTTAAATCAGTATATTTGTCATTCATAGTTTTCTTTGGAAGTGTGTCACTGTCTTCAACTTTGGTTGTGAAACGTGGAGGGTAGAGATTTATTTGAGCAGATACTGATTCTGTTTGATCAGAGGGTGAACTTTTTTGCCTATTCCCTTTGCTTCTTCTATATAGTCAATGAGGTAGTGCAGTTTGGTTTTGGTGTTCTTCTTTTTGGCAATTTTGGATTGTTCTTGAGAAACCTGAGTTCAACATAGACTTCGTAGACTTAAAGGAGGCAGCAAAGGAAGATTTGCTAAGAAAGTCATCCTTTCTTTCTGATGATGGTCCACACCTACTGGGGTAGTTGACACATGCACTTTCTTCTGAATCAATTTCCGTAAACCGTATGGGTCTTAGTGCCACTTACTACAGGGCTTTAAATTCCCTTGCTGTATAGACAGTGCTGACTGTTCTATGTAAACATCTAGATTATGCTAAACCATTTGTTCTCTGGAAACCAATACTCTCTCAGCAGCTGCTTGTGAATGGATTGACATTTCCCCTGCTCCCTACCATTGCTTGTCAACCTAGACCTTGGATAGCAAAACCAAGGCGCTCCAATTGTCAGCATCCAGTACATGTCCATGGCAGACATTCCTAATCGATCATGGAACTCTTCCCCACTGAGCCTCTGCAGAGCTCTAGGGTCTTTTTCCAACATGGTGCTCCAGGGAGCCATGGCTAATCAATCAGATGTGGCGTTGTTTTTGTTCATTGCAGCTGCCACCTGTCTGTGCTCGCTGCTAGGAGTGAGTGCAGTGAGGATCAGCTTTTGACATATCTTGCATATAAGCTAAGCAAGGTTTGCAGAAATGATTTTCCACTGCAAAGGTTAGATTTTTATGGTACCTTTAAGAAAACTCACTAACATCAACAGAATTTTGAAAAACCTATGTAAAAGAGCTGACTAATGGAATCAAAATCAAGCATTAGCCAACAGTTACCAGCTGGAGGAAAAAGGTTAAATGAGAGGTTTGTTAATCGCAGGCACTCAAGGAGAAAGAAGTGAGAAGTAATTGAATGCTTAGGCTAAAGTTCTGGGGTGTTTGCTGCCATTTAACTTGAAATCTGCTTAAGACAGAATCAAAGGCCTTGTGCAAATTACAACACTTTTCCTCATTTTTCTCAACTTCCAAATGAGCTGTGATATTAAGATTTGCCAGAGTATCATTAGTTAACACTCACAAAGACTAATGAAAATGAAAAATTCAATTTTTCTAATATCATTGTATTTAATTAATGGTCTATTCAATAATGATAATAACTCACATTTATATAGTGCCATATAGTTTACAAAGCTTTTAATATGGCACATTATGGTTAATCATTATAAAGTAGAATCATGTTGGGCAAGCATATAGAAAAATAGTGATTTTGGTGTTTGCAAATTTTATAAAGTCTTCTGTGTTTTTTCCTCAAAATGGGATATTAAAGAGAGATTAATAGTTCCATCATATATTTGCTCATTTGAACAAAACACAGCACAACCAACACCAGGTAAATGTTTTAATTAAAAACACATAGAAAAATGATACATATTTATTTTGTGCTTCCCAAACATAATTTAGTATCAATTGCTGGAAGAAAAAAAATGGGAGGGAGAATCCTTATTTCCTAGTTTCTCTCTTTCCAAATAGCTTAAATAGTGATGCTGAATCTAGAGGAGTCAAAAATTCTATTGAGGGGCCAGCATTGTGGCATCTCGGATTAAGCTGCCGCCTGCAATGCTGGCATCTCTTAGGGGCAACTGTCTGAGACCTGGCTGATCCACTTCTGATCCAGCTCCCTGCAAATGACCTGGAAAAGCAGTGAAATATGGCCAAGTTCTTGGGCCCCAACCACCCATAGGAGACTCCAATGAAGCTCCTGGCTCCTGACTTTGCAGCCATTTGTGGGGTGAACCAGTGGATAGAAGATTCTCTATCTATCTCTGTCTTTCTATCTCTCTCCTTCTCTCTCTCTGTAACTCTGCCTTCCAAATAAATAAATAAATCTTTAAAAAATTCTCTTGAGGTCATCAGCCAATGCAGCAGATACCACTCTGCTTGCCCCTGTGTCTTGAATGTTGACTCTGACTAGGACAGTCTTTATTGGTTCTCTTAAACTTGAGTCATATTTAATCACTATACATTAGCCAGACTCTTGAGAGGATTTGGGCTTTGAGATTCATTTTTGTTTTGTTACTGAAAATCAGATTTAGAAAAACATAGGACACAGGTTATTTACTTACACAATGACCTGCAGTTAAAAGATTTGGGACTTACTGCTGAACTTGTTCCTACCTGGACAATCATATGCTGTTTCCATTTAATGTAAGTGAAAACTCAAAACTCCTTCTGGAAAACACATTTTCTAGGTGTTAGCAAGATACGAACCCCAACTTGATAGAGTTTCAGGTCCGGCAGATAAAGATACACAAGTAGGCAATAGAGTATCATAAGTGCTGTTGGAAAGGGTGTGTATGGTGCCATTGCAGTGTGAGCATGGATACTCAGAGCTGGGAATGCAGGAGAGCATCCCCAGGGAGAGTGGGCAAAAGTCTCTACACCTGCAATTTCTAGTATGGTGGTCATAAGCCATTCTGACTAGACAGAGTCAGGATGTACTGTGTGATTGTATTTTGAACACTTAATACAAAAATAAAAAAAACACAAGTATCTTATTAATATTTCTATATCAACCACGTGTTGGTATCATAATACATGGATAGGTTAAGCTAAATAAAATGTTACCACTAGATTTTCAGGGTGTTTTTCTTTTTTAAAATGTGGCTCTTTGATTTAAAATTCCATATGTTGCATTGCATTTTAATGAGACGTTACTGTTCTAGGCAGAGGTTACAGTGCATATAAAGTGTTAAGAAAAGAATATGGTATTCTGTGAAACTTTGGTGATTTAGCTAGAACCCTGGGTCGGTCCCAGGAAGGATAAGAAGAAATCTGAGAGAGCTCAGTGGTGGGCAGATCCAGAAGGGTCTTGTAACTCATGCTAAAGATTTGGAAATCTATCTTGAAGACATCATGGAATTATTTAATGAATTTACCCACAGGAAGATTTTCTGATTAATTTCTTATTGAGCATGTTTTGCTGTCCTGTGCCATTGCATCTGCAAAATATGTTTTTATGGACTTAAGCCCAAAAATACATGCAATGATTTTTGACTCATTTGGCTAAATTAGCTTCTACAGCCCTTCATGAAACAGCTGAAGGAGCTAGGACAGCCCTCCCAAGTTGGTTGGGTACATGATTTCCATTCAGTTTTCAAGGTATTCTTAAACTGATGAGTGAGCAGCAATTTACATTTGGACTATCTTAGGTGAATGTCCAGTTATCCATTACAGAGAGCAAACATATACTTAGTGCACCAGCAAAACAGAGGCTCCCACAGGAAATGAAAAAACATTTTGTAATTGATGTTTCAAAAAATTAATTTTATCTTTGACTTTTAGGCTATATGGTATTATTTTGAGTTTCATAAGAAGAAGTGGTTTAAGAAGCCTGTAAACTTTTCATTGTGTTTGCCTCTAAAATTCTTAATCCAATGCAATGTGAATGCATTAAGTCAGAGCATTAATAATTGGCAGTTGCTAAAACAGAATCATATGCTGAGGTTAAATGTTGCTGTTGTTTTGGTGGCTACTTTCTTCAAATTCCCACCGAGACTTTTTTTTTTTTTTCCAAAAAACTGGTCCACTCTGTCTTTCACAGTCTCCTAAACTTGAAAGAATTGAGGCCATCTTGGGAATCTGCATGCCAGAATTTAGCACTTAATGACTCAGTCTCTCTACTCAAATTTCTTGTAGAGTTCTAAATCCAGCTCCAATTACAATCTGTAAAGTGCCCTGCCAGAAAACATGATAATGGGGTGTGAATTTAAAAGACACATCTAGACATTATGATGTGGCTCAGCGCCGAATAAAACCAAACCCAGATGTGCATAGACACTAACTGTGCCTTTCCACAGATCTTCTGCATTGGTCAGTATGCAACTCAGGAACCAGGAATAGAATATTGTCTCTGTCATTATAAACTTCCAAATGAAAAGTAGTTGTGTACTTTTCCTCTTACAGTTTTTATAGAAAATTAAAAAAATTCTTCAAGCCTTTTTAAAGAGGTGTTTCTTATGGGTTAGTGTATGTTTTAGTGTGACTTGAGGTTTAATATTTAAAATTTTCACTTTTATGGCAAGATAAGCCAATTGTAGAAATCTGCTGTATGATATAGTCCCTACAGTTGATAATAGAGTAGTGTGTGTTTTCAGTTGTGTAAGAAGATACATCTCATGTTAAATATTCTTATATACCTATACATGCATACAGATACACAGGAAAACAAAAATACCCACAAAGGAATACAAAGAAATTTTGGAGATGACCTATACATTGAGTACCTTAGTTAGGGTGAAGGTAACACAGGTGTATGCATAGGTCTGGGTTTATTATAATATGTATATTAAATATGAGCTCTTTTGGTATACCAATTATACTTCAATAAAGCTTTTTTAAAAGCAGTTATGCATACTCTCAGCCTAATGGTACTCATATTTTCTGGGGTATTTATCTCTTTACTTACATCTTAGCTCTTTGGTGAACTAACCTGGACTTATTCACATTAGCCTTAGATGCTAAAACAGGAATATTCCTGGTACTACTTGAATGAGTCACTTTGGAAAATCAAATTCTGTAATTTTGTTCCTCTAAGAACACTAAGAGAAGGCTCATGAATGCCTTCTGAATCAGATGGGTTTAATCAATATTAA